TCAAAGAAAAAAATAATTCACGTGGAATATATTTTATTTAAACGACAAATTTTTTTGTTATAATCGTCAAAAGTGTTTAACTCTTCTATGACTAGAGTTTTACATTTCAATATATACTTATAAAAGTCAAAAAAAAGTCGATCAGATTGAAAAATAATAAATTATACCAATCAATAAAATCGGTTTCTACCAATAAACTTGACGAGTAGATTTTATTCTTCTAGAAATTTAATCATTACATATAAAACACTTCAGTACTTTTTGACCTTCTATAATTGATCAATATATCACATAAATCAGTGATCTGCGGCATTTCGTTTCAATGAAAATTAAAGGTAGCTTATACATACAAGTCTACTTTAGCATTCAACGTGTAGTTCAATTTCGTTTTCAGTTTTTTTAGAAAAAAAATTTTTTTTTAATCACAACAACTCCTACCATAGTTAAGGAATGCAACCACTTGAAGATTGATACGGCGCATAATTTTGTTGGCTAGTAACAATCAATTTCCAGTTGAATTTGGAATTTTGTTATGTAGAAATAGAGATACCCTGAAAAATATACTTTAAAGACAAATTTCAGGAGTTGTTTTCATTCCTTCAATACATTTATTACTATATAAAATAATGTTCATCTTTTGTTTTTCTGAAAATTTATAATCGACCGAAATTCCATTGAAATCTACGGCAGTTTACTCGAATAAGAATGAAAATCATTTAAGGGTAGTTTACTCCCTATACCATATAAAAACAAAAAAAGCCGAATTACGTCAACTTTAGTTTTCAATGTCTTTTCGGACAATATAAGTTTTGTTGACCTTGGTTTAAATTTGTATTTTTCTGAGACAAAAATTCATGAAAAAAATAACTTTTACACTCTTGAAAAATAAAAGGGATACCACTCCTGCGGATCTTGGTGTGCTGTATGATATTTATTTACTAGTAAATGACATCTACTAGTAAATACTAGTATGACATTTACTAGTTTGACTACTACTAGTATGACATTTACTAGTTGTTTTTAGAAAGAAATGTTATATAGGAAAAGAGATATACTGAAAAAACGGTTTTTGGGATCGAACTTTGGGGGTAGTTTTCGCCCCTTTCAACCATTTATTAGTACATAAAAAAATATGTGTTGCTTATTTTTTAGTCCTCTACAACATATCACAATTTCATTAGAATCGGTTCCACACACTTCCCTTACCTTCCTTGTCAAAGATCAAATTAAGGACTGTGACGGTAAACGTCCGGTATGCGCTACCGTCTCAATCGCGCGGCTGCCTGCGAGGGCAGCACCTACCCGCCGGGGGAAATAAAAAGGGAACTCGGTCCGAAATGGGGCGGAACGCGCGTGAAGAAAGAAGGACCAGTCGAGGAGTACCCCTGGCATTGTTAACAGCGTGCTAGAGTCGACTAGTACCTCAAGAAAACGATAATAGCGTGCTAGAGTCGAGGAGTACCTCCAGTGTCGGCAACAGCGTGCGTGCGTGTGAATGTTACAAGGAGCGCGAATACTAAATTGCCGATAGTTTGTTGTTGTTGCTGTCTCGCGAGGTTAGTCGTAACGCCATCACAGGCTGACTACGACATCCAAGGGATTGGTCCTACGGAAGCGGCAGGGCGACAGAGAAAGCCTCGTATTTGATTTGGAAAAGCGGTAACCTGAGCCACGTGTTAAAAGGGCACGACGAACTGCTCTCCCTGAAAAACCGACGAACGTACCAAGGTAAGCTGGCCAGCTTCGCGTCGTAATTACGTCAAACAGCCGCGCGTCGTATTATGAATTTTCTCTCGCAAAACCGTGCCCGAGCGTTATTAAATCGGTAGCAAGCGAGCGAGCGAATATTTCGAATTTAATGCGCGGTATCGAATAAATGCCGGCAAGCAACGCTATCGCATGTTTAGAATAAGGACTCTCGCGCGGGCCAAATCTTTGTGAGAATAGTTCGAATAAACGATCCTGTATTACCGAAATTATAATCTAGTTTTGTCTCTGTCACTGCTTAGTTGATTGACTGATACCCGCCCTTTCCTGCTCCTCGGTTAATTAAGAAAATTGATTATTTTGTTCTCATCGTGCGCATTCCAGTACGATTGCACACGAAGTGAGACAGAGGAATTAACACGGATTCATCCCCCCTTACAGGACATATAAAACTTTCCATTGGTTCCTTTCGAGATTCGCTCAGATTGCCGTTGTGTTCGGGTTAATTGAGTCCTTTTTTTATACAATATATTGTATTAATTTTTGTTTTCTGAAATATAATTTTAAATGAATTCTCTCATGAACACACTGATTTGCTCACATTGCGAACTTTCTCTCACTAATCACAATCTTTATTCAAATACATATCGGAATATCACAGTGATTCAAATTTTCTGAGATGTTTTGTTGAAAATTGTAAAAGATGGTATTTGACTTATGGTTCTTTTAAGAAACATGTGAATAGTAAACACAAACAAATACTTGAAGAATCGGTACCATCAGTTATAAGCGAAAAAGAATTATATACTGAAAAAAAACTTGTATTAATATAAATGATAATGATGTAGAGGAGATAAGTTCAGATGAATCGGTATAGTATGAATGTTTTGATGAAGAAACTGAAGTTTTCATAGAATTAAATTTTCCTACGTATGTAGAAAGTCTCTTGCAAATAGCTATCAAATATAGCACAAGTATTTCTAGTTTTAAAGAAATTTCTACAAAGCATGTTAATGATGTGATTCAAAAAACTAAATGTTTGATAGTTGATATCACTAATTTAATGAAACAAGAAATTCAAAGTGAGTTAAGTAATACACATCAAAATAACGTTGAAAATGTGATGTTACGTTTATAATATGCTTGCTAATAAAGTTAGTTAATATAATAATCCAATATTTACAATAAAATAATGATAACATTTGACATATAGCAATTGTTTATTGCTTGTAGAAGTAATTCCAAAAAAGAACTACTTAAATTAGTTTGAATTATAATCAAATTTCAATATTTTGTAAAAATTTTATAATGCAAATATTAAATCAGTTATGTGATGGTAAACGTCCGGTTAGTGCTACCGTCTCGATCGCGCGGCTGCCTGCGAGGGCAGCACCTACCGGCCCGGGTAAGTGGAAAACGGGAACTCGGTCTGAAATAGGAAGAAACGCGCGGGAAGAGAAAAGGACCAGTGGGAGAGCGCCTTTGACACCGGCAACAGCGTGCGGGAGTCGAGGGATAACGCGAAGTTGAGAAATACCATAGACTTTATCAACTACGTACAACGTGTGAGAGTCTAGGAGTGCCTCTAGCATCGGCAACGGCATGTGTACGTGTGCATGTCGCAAGGAGCGTGAGCATTAGGCGGCCAATAGTTTTTGTTGTTGCTGCGATTTTGAGTGGCTAGCAGAGACGCCATCGGAGGTCAGCTATGAGGTCGCTAAATCTGTCCGACGGAAGCAGCACGACAACAGAGAGAGCCTCGTATTTAAGTGGAAAAGTGGCAACCTGAGCCACGCGCTGAACTACGACGTAGAACTGCTCTCCTTAACAGCGCGACTAATCGCTGGCCAGCTTCGCGTTATGATTTTCGGTAAGCGATCGTGCGTAACATCTTAGTTCTCCCTTCCCACCTACGAATACAACAAAATCGGTAGCGAGCATACAAATAAATAAACGAACGATTGTAAGCCAAATGACGGTGTGTAAGATTGTCGCGCACATCGTATAAACGTAAATGCGCGGGCCAAATGCATTGTAGATAGCACGATAAATAAACTAGTCTGTACATGATTGAAATGTTAATCTATTGTTGTCTTTGCTATTAATAAGTTGGTTGACTGACACCTGTCCTTCCTGCTCCTCGGTTAGCTAAGAAAACTTGATTATTTCGATCTTGTCGCACGCATTTCGGTACGACTGCGCATCGGGCGAGACAAAGAAATTAAAACGGATTTACGCCCCGTTACAGTTAATGAAAATTAATAAATTATAAAGATATCGTTATTATGTACAAAATTAACGCTTTTGATTCATATATAATTATTTGTTTAAATAAATTATTATTAATTGTTTATTAATTGATAACAGTAATAACTAAGCTGTTATCAATGGAACAAATTCTTACTCATGTTTTTCAGATAGTCATCTTGAGTTGAGAGTATCCGTTTTAATATAATAATTAACATAATAAATAAATTTAATTTTCACATTAAAATTCGATATAATTTAGTAGTTAAATGTAATTAAAATTATTACAATCTTAATATATGCCCTAAAATCTATATAAAAAATGCTTTGTTATATTGAAATTAATCTTAATTAACGCATTTTAATTAAACAATAAAAACTATTATATCTATATCTATAAGTAGAGTGACGTCACGCTCCTTATATAGTCATGAAAATTGACTCTAGCACTAATACAATCATATAATATGTGAGGTAGTACCGTTTAAAATACTAATTGATGTAACTAGATTGACGAGCTTAGCGGGTTGAGGTAATCTAGTGAAAATTAGAAAAGAGGTCATAGATAGGACAGTTACATGAGGAATAACAATAATAATTATTCTGAAAGAACCAATATATTCTATATTATTAGTGTTTAATATAAAAATTATAGTTACAAATAATTGTTTAAATAATGACAAGGCTGATAAAAAATGTTCATTCAAAATTAAATTAAAAATTATTATTCGAAAATTCCAATGCTTATTTACTATAATTTTTAATTTTAGATTTTAAAAAAACGTTTTAAATTCTAAATTTATTTTAGCAGAATATATGTGTTACATAATCATTTTGTATATATTTTTTCAGTGGTATTCTACTTTGTTACGTATTCTTCATACGTGAAGACTACATTTGCGGATGTTTGATGTACTTGCTTTAATCCGCTATCGTAGTTCTAGATGAAAAATTTTTCACAGAAGTTATTTATGTATGATTAATATACTTGCTTGCATTCGTATTCTATTTCGTTGTGCTCTCAAGTATATTTAAAGAAAACTTACCATCTGTGCCACGCAGAAACAATGTCTAAAGTTGTGAAAAGGAACCTCATTGTAGTTATTGTAGACTTCAAAGATGAAATTTCGAAGGGTTGTTAGAGTTATGTTGTATTTTTGTAAAAGTTCTAATTCGATAAACATAGTTTGCAGCATCAGTAGCAATTCCTCGTCTTCCCATTGTTTGGCATCGAAGGTCGGTGAGCGCAGCAATTCACGGGCATGCGAAACCAATGCGATGTCACTATTGATATAAATATTGTTAGATTTCATAATATATTACTTCCAAATTGATACTTAAATATAACCAACGTATATTTCTAAATATTTATGTGGAAAGTATTATGTTTAACGTTAGAGCAAGCCAAGATACAGTGTACAGTGTAACACGTTCGTTTCCTTAATTCGACTTCACGATTTACGCGTCAAATAAAATAGTCCAAATAATGCCGCGTCACTAATTACACCGTCACACAAAATAAAACGAAGTGTTTGACCTAGGTAAGCGACACATGTATTCCTATGTATTTTGGCTCGCTGAACACGAATCCGGTCTCAGAATTGCTCCATCACCCTCCAGTTTTTTTTTAAATTGCAAGTATTGATTAGTGAATCTGAGAAATGGGGTTTTTGGACAATTTATCGATATTTACTTAATTTATGATATAATATTGTATTAAGAATACATTTTTCATATGTATTTTGACCTGCTGAATACAAATTTACAGTCAGATTTGATCCAAGATCCTGGATTTTCTTTTTAAAGTGAAAATTCATAAAAAAAAATGGAAGAAATCGTCTTTTTTCATCATTTTTGTGTTGTTTATTAAGTTTAAAACTTGAATTATTCATTAGACAGAGGTTTTTTCAGTTCAATTTGAGTCTCTGAGTATGATTTTATAGTCAAATTTAATCCATGACCCATACATTCTTCTTCATAATCGAAAAATTAATGAAATAACTGAAAATTGTACACATAAAATGTTATACCGTATCTTGTTTTGCAGCGTCCGCAGCTTTTTATTGTTTGGCAACTTGGCTAATATAATGATACCATTTCATACAAGAAGAAACTTGAAAGTAAAGGCAGGTACAACAGAAAATGAATCACTTACGATGCAAGGATTAGGAGACCTAGTATCGGCGGCTGGTCAGGGTGGGAAAGCGGGCCCGCAGTCCTCGTCATCCAGCGACCGTAGCTCTCTATCGGTTGGCAATTCGGCTGCTGGAGAGTATAGAATTACAAGAAGAAGGAATAGGCCACTCCACGTTTGTGCCAAGGATAAAGACGTATTTTGTTACGTCTGTGGAAAGTTTGAAGTAAGTAAATTACGCAAAGAAATGAATGATAGGTTGATAGGTATATACAGCAGATTTTTTTAAATGGAAGGATTTAGTCAGCTAGAATCATATGCTCCGCATATCGTATGCAATGCTTGCTATAAAATGTTAGATCGTTGGGACTCTTCCGAAAATAAAACTGTATATACCTATCAACCTATCATTCATTTCTTTGCGTAATTTACTTACTTCAAACTTTCCACAGACGTAACAAAATACGTCTTTATCCTTGGCACAAACGTGGAGTGGCCTATTCCTTCTTCTTGTAATTCTATACTTTCCAGCGGCCAAGTTGCCAACTGATAGAGAGCTACGGTCGCTGGATGACGACGACTGCGGGCCCGCTTTCCCACCCTGACCAGCCGCCGATACTAGGTCTCCTAATCCTTGCATCGTAAGTGATTCATTTTCTGTTGTACCTGCCATAACTTTCAAGTTTCTTCTTGTATTAAATGGTATCTTTCCATCAGCCAAGTTGCCAACCAATAAAAAGCTGCGGACGCTGCAAAACAAGATACGGTATAACATTTTATGTGTACAATTTCCAGTTATTTCATTAATTATTCGATTATGAAGAAGAATGTATGGGTCATGGATTAAATTTGACTATAAAATCATACTCAGAGACTCAAATTGAACTGAAAAAACCTCTGTATAATGAATAATTCAAGTTTTAAACTTAATAAACAACATAAAAATGATGAAAAAAGACGATTTCTTCCGTTTTTTTTTGATGAATTTTCACTTTGAAAAGAAAATCCAGGGTCTTGGATCAAATCTGACTGTAGATTTGTATTCAGCAGGTCAAAATACATAAGAAAAATATATTCTTAATACAATATTATATCATAAATTTAGTAAATATCGATAAATTGTCCAAAAATCCCATTTCTCAGATTCACTAATCAATACTTGCAATTTAAAAAAAACTGAAGGGTGATGGAGCAATTCTGAGGCCGGATTCGTGTTCAGCAAGCCAAAATACATAGGAATACATGTGTCGCGTACCTAGGGCAGACACTTCGTTTTATTTTGTGTGACGGTGTTATTTATAAAGGGGAGGCTACGAAAGGTGCATTCGCTTCACCGCGAAAGGCGTCGATAGGCTTTCGTCGTCTAACAATCCTAAATGCTGCAATTATGAGACAGGCAGAGAAACAGAAATTATCGAAAGTTGTTTGTCCATTAGCATTCTTTATTTACTCTTCGTTATTACAATGCCCGATGCGGTTTTGTGCATCAGAGGGAAAGGCCGTACGAGTTCGTCTCCGTGCGAGTAAACGTACCGAAGACGAAGCATCGACTCACAGCAAATGGTCCTACCGTCCCGGCAGATGCAGTGCGATTAAAGCGCACTCGCATCTATTTGTGCTACCGCCCTGATGATTTTGTTGAGAGAGAGAAAAACGAAGGGCGCACCGAAATATGACAGGGTACCTGACCTGACGAAGGAACGTCATCGGAGACCTGGCGAGCTGCTGCTGCTGATGCTGCTCTGCCACTGATCGACGTCCTTCTAGCTACCGTTGCTCGCTTTCTCAAGTCCGGTCGGATAAGGCCGTAGAGGGCTGGTTGTCTGGCTCAGTTTCCCTGCCGCTTTTTGTTCCACGAGAGACAGCTGTTGTTTGTTGAATCACTTGAATTCTTGCTTCAACTTTTCATTGGATTTCTTGCTCGCGCAATCACTCGCGACGCTGATCCGGTCAGTACTGTTCGCGTTCTTCTGTTCTTCGCGGCATTCCTGCTCCTTCCTTCAGCACCCAAAATCGGTCAAACGCCGCCGACTACGCAAACATGTGCGAGTCACGCCGACGATACTATTTCTCTCTCTCTCTCTTCTCTCCTTTTCTCTACCACTTTCTTCCGCCGCCCCGACTACCGACGCCGATCAGAAATCAAACTTGAAACAAAGCCACATCGAGCGTCGATATTTGGTTGGAACTACCAACATTGATGTGGCAGCGGCGAAGGGAAAAAGAGAGAGAGGCGAATAGGGTCAGCGGTCTCAACGATTGTATCGCCCGTCACAACATTTCGTTGACAGGTCTATCAATCACGTTAAAAATTCTAACATTGTCTTGGTTTATATCAATAAAAGTCTTATTATACAAACATTATCTTTCAATAATCGTCAGAATGTCCGCGTTGGATAAATAAGATTCATTGACCTCTCGTTATTTCGATTAGTTGTTTAGTTTTTACAATAACTCAGTGGTGTGCCAGAACTTAAAAAAAACGATTGTATAACCGTTGTATGATGTTGTTCCAACGAAAAAATCCTTTTCATTTTAAAAAATATTTCGTTGCCACAAGGTTTCTACGACAAATCAAGGGTCGCTGTAGCGACCTGCCGCATGAATGCCGGAAGCGCATACACAATACGCGACCCTATACACATCGACTTAGCAATGCACGAATGTAATTTTCAGTATTTAGTACATAAATTTACGTTAAAATTTTTACAAAACAATGTTTTCTATATTTATTGCAAAAAATTTAATAAAATTTTTGACATTCTAGTTATTCAATAACCATTTTTATATGGTTTTTATCTTTCTTATATCATGAATTGGTCTAAACTTTTTTTCTTCTTGAGTTAAATTTCATTCAATACGTTTGTTTATTTGTGTGCCGAAATCGTGTCTACATTCTTTCTGTGGTAGTCAGATGTAGTTGTAGTGGTGTATAATGTGTGTGTATGTGTGTATATCTATATGTATACGTGTTATATAGTTCATCTACATATTCGTTCCGTAGTACTCGGCTCGATTCGCGCTGTTTTTAATTTTGTTATTTATAAATTACATGGTGAATATCGTTTTAATAAAAAAAGTATAATAGAGTGTCACGTCGATACGTAATGTATCATACGGACGGATATCTCTATATATGTACACATATCATCAAATCTTTTTTTATCTACTACTTAGTCGATAGTGTATTTGTCATTACCTATCATCAATTCCGTATTCTCTGTCGAATCCGTTACCGATGTCGTAGAGCACGGTAATGCTGTCTCCACTGTATTACTTGTTACACATACCGACTCTATAAACCGGTTCTAATCCATATATGAATCGGGATTTGACGCAATAACTTTTGATGAATCATTGTCCTAATTTAAGTCAAGTTAGTTAGGGAATGATTCGGCAGCGCAGATATAAAAGGAGCCTTTGCCGCTGAACTCGCTCTTTCGTTCACTCGCTGCGCTTGATTTTCGACTCTGTCTAGTTTTTGCGTTCCGACAAACCTGAACTATTGTTAGTTTAAATATTAAAATATTATTTCGTTACTCAATTAGTAACCTGAGATAACCTAAGTATAAACTGTATTTGTATTTTTTACTTTGATTAAAAGTGTAACCTAAATATCTGGCACTATTTATCTAATTCTTCCTCTTAAATCAAACCACGTACGACACGAATTATTTGACCGAGACTAACAGCAACTGATTATTATTAAATAATAATCAAGGTAAGAATATACTTAAACTTTCAACTACTCTACGCACGAAAATTGCTATCTTTCTATCTTCGTTCTATATCTATCACTCACGTTCACAGCTCTTGCACTTACAAGGGAATCACCCCAACCCGACCTCACCGATTTGAATGATTTTGGGATATGTTGTAGTACTTGAAAAAAAATTAGATACGTGTTTTTTTTCATCGGCCCATAAGGGCTTTTAAGGGGTTAAATACACTCTGAAAATCAACCCCTAAAATCAGTTTTTTTTATATTTCTCAGCATCAAATGAATATTTTTCAGTAAACTCAGCGTTAAAACATTTCTTATAAAAAGGCGCTTTTAAGGACATAAGATTTATACCGAAGGGTTGCAACCCCATTTTTAATAGTGGTAAATACACTATTTTTTGTACTGTTTTACGACATGTAATATAGT